TTATTCAAACGATTTTGACTTCTTTTTCAATTTTAAGTAATGTTTCTTTAGCTAAACACAAAAAGCACCTGTAAGCCTTTTGTTTTTGAGGAAATTAGTTCAAATTATTAGATTTAATGCTCGATTTTGGCTGTGAAAGTGCATTTTTTTTTGCCAAACTCAGGATATAATTTATCCAAAACTAATGCAAACCTTTAAGTTTCACTTCGTGTGGTAAGGAATATTTGGTTATTTTAAACTAATTTAGAAAAGTGAATTAAACCGTATATTTCGAACAAAACCTGTAATTGAAGTACGCGTCAAACAAGCTGGTGAACATAAAAAGATATATACAGGCTACGTACTATGTTACTTTTTAATTTATCAATGCCATCATTTTATTTTAGTTTGGTATATACAAAAATTGTTTGAAATTATGTACAGCACGTAAGGTTTTCACATTTCTTCAAATTCGCTTAAAAGTTAAGCATGCTAGGAAAACAAAATAAAACGACCATATTCAATATCATAGAAATCTTAGCATTAAAATTCCAAACCCATGGAATTATAATTTTATGAAATTTTTATAATCTTGTCTTATGGCTTATGAAAGGGTTCAAACGATTTATCATCCAGCACATAAAAGTATTTTAATAACGTCGTGATGCACGTACATAATTCCTGTGTATTGTTATGAGTGGGTCAGTTGATATTCAGGAATAAATTATCACGAAGCTTTGAAATATGGATCATGCATTTTTTATTATTATTTAATGGACAACATTTTTATTTATGCGTCGCATTTGCAAACACATAAAGTAGACATGAGGCAAATAATATCACAATACATAAATATCATAAGCATAGAGGTAACTCATAATAAAGTTAACAATTTCTTGTTGATAGAAATGAACCCTCGACCAACAACAACAACAAAAAAATATATAATCATACATATATATATATTATATTGAAATGAAATTCATTATTAGTTATTCATGTATATATATATATATACACACACACATACACACACATAAAATATGAAACATTAATACGTTCGTAAACACAGGCAAGCATGTAACATGATCACTCAAGTATTCTTCATTACAAATAGTTTCATTTAGAATATATATAGTTATACACCGATGTATACATATAGAAGCAAAAACTAATATACTGTACCAATGATGAAATATTTTAGAAGTATGAAAATATTGAAAATTACAGCATTTACGATTTGTAGACTACTTGCCTCTAGACGTAGCACATAACAGCCGATTCCTGAAGACGCACTTGATAAATAAATACATACACACACATGTATATATATATGTGTGTGTGTGAGAGTAATTTACCCTATTTTAGTAGTTCTATATTCTACTGAAGATAGATAAAAAACAATAACGAACAAAATAGTGTGCATATAAAGGCTTAATGTAAATATCAAATACAATGGCATTAATAATTATAGAATCTGTTACTTAAACCTTTAGAATAACAAGTTGTTAAGATTATGTGATACTTCCGCTCCAAGAAGATCCTGAAATATTGTTTGTTAAGGACTCTCTTGTATCGAAGTATATGTAAATACAAAAAAATATGAACATCCCACCTTAGCAATAAGAAATTATTTTAAAGGTTTTTAAAAAATAGAACTTATGATATGTTTATTAGATACAAAGTTAAGGAAAATACTATAAATTGTTTGATTATCAATAAGAGTTTGTCTAATTCCGTATTATTCATCAGACTATATTATATGCCACTTTTGCCTCTTTTCTATATAAAATTTCTGGATATTTTGTTAACACTGTATCTTTCCTAGTCGGTTTTTCACACGACGTTTTACCAAAACATTGTTTCATATTGAGTAAGAATTTCAAAAACGCATTTCGTTAACAATGTCCAATTCCTCATCATCCTTTATGATAATAGATCTTTCATCAACGCAATTTCATTTCGTATAATCCTTTTTACAAAAAACACTTCGTAAACATAACTGAATTTGGAAATAAAATGTTTTTGTCTTCCTCGTTTTATCACAAATCATCTTGTGGAAGAACACTTTCCCTATACAGTTTTTCCATAACACTTTTCATATGACGTCTTTCATTAACAGTGTATCACTATCTATAAAAGTGCTTTTCAAGGATATCATTACAGAAGATAACATTTAACTCATAAGATTCAATAGTCATTGCAGTTTTCTAAGCAACGATATTTACAGAACGTTTTCCAGTTACTAATCTCTTTAATTAAATAACTTATTATCTTTACGTATTTGACAATAACGTGTTACTGAATAAGGCACTTGCCACCTTATCATTATCTTTCGAGCATAACAAATATTTTCTGTCTTTTAGGTTTCTATAATTTATAAATGGTAGATCTAACAATGTGTGTGTGTATCAATATGGTTTTATCTAACTCTGTGACATTACGTTAATATCAATCCTTGTAATAGAGGGGGTTACTGATGCTTCCTTAATTAGAGTGTAATAAATATATTTGACAATAGCCAGCCTAACAACAAACCTATGTCACAGGCTACGTTTGTGTGGATTTAACAACAATGTAAAAAAGTCTTGGACTAGCAATAAATACAAGATAGGTTTTAAAAAGTAACGACAAAGAAAAATGTATTTTCAAAACCAACTTCTTGTACGTTTCTTCGCTAGATAATTTTAAATTTGCAAAACAAATTATTCTACAAGTAATTATTTTACTAGTAAGTTTCAATAACTTCTCTTCTTTTACTGTTGTACCAACGAACATACAATAAACCTTAAATTTATGAAACAAGTCTTTAATAATCAATAGCGAAAACTTATACAATAACTACATAAAATCAATACATTAAAAACTGTAACAGAAGTTTTTGTATAACTTAATTAATTGAATTTCTGCATCATAAGAAATTATCAAGTGAATCCGAAGAAGGCCGCGCACATAATATGTGCACAAAATAAAGCAAAAATAGATAAAAAATGTATTAAGCGAATCAAACAACTTATAAACATGCAAGATACACCGCATAGCCCACAAAACTTGCAAGGTAAAATAGACAATTTATTTATATGTGAAATGCACCACAAAAAGCATTAGACGAAAAACACAGATACTAGTTGTACCACTATTGACTCTCAAAACGTAGTAGTTGCGCTACGTAGTTGAACATCATACTAGGCATTCTGCATAACTCATAAAATGTACTATTTTGCACCACGTAACTTACAAAATGCATTAGGCGAGCAACATAGCCAACAAATTATTCAATTATTTCAGTTATTTATTTGAAACCTGAACCTTCTGACTGAGTACAGCCTTTCATTAGAATTAAAGAGCGCACAAAGTAAGCACACAAAACACACATATACGATACACGACTCTCATAACTTAATACCAATCCACGTACGTAATAGTGGAACTAAACATTATACATACCAGGTAAAAAAAAATAACCTATACACGTTGTAGACGAATCAAGTAACTAATGTAAGTATTAAGTAAACGATTTCACCCAGCTATATACATATTAGGAGAATTACATAACTTACACATACATATACATATGTAAGACAAACCACGCAATACCTATATACCTACAAATATATGCACTAGTATACATCAGGTGCTGATACTTCTAGTTTTGACGTAGTTTTAAGTTTTATATTTTAGTTATTTTAGTATCTGGTATTTTGTAATGAATAAAACGACTTAATATAATTTTCTAGTCGAAGAGAAATTTATTAAAGCGATGTTGTTTTTAATTTGGTGTTTCTTTTGTTAATAAGCACGAAACGCAATTTTTAGCGTTAAGTATTCAGACTAGCTATTGAGCCACCGCAGAGAGGGGATTTATTAGCAATAGAAAATATTCTTTATAAATAATCGAGCTGACTTAGTGTTAAACTAATGACGAATATGTATATTATCAAGGAGGGTACATAGTAAGATATTCATTTTTAAACTTATATATATCATTAAGGTTGGCGAGGTATTGGCCTTTATGGCATAGGAGAAGTGTGCCATAGAAATACTATTATATTATTCTTACTGGGAACCATAGAGAGCCAGTAAAGAAACATTTCTTAAAATTGATTATCAGTGTTATTAATACAAATGTCAAAGAAATGACTAATCTATAGATCACGCTTCGCCAACATGGGCGTTATATAAGATATATATAAAAAACATATTATGTTCTCTGTATATTTGAATCAGTTAAATTGTGGTCTAATGTGATTGTATATTGGTTTGATATGAACATATTTATTTTATTTCACCTAGATAATTAAAAATCTAGATCACAGGAAATATTTTGTTTTCAAGAGTCACGGGAATGCTATTTTCATAAGGCTTACTTTAAACCTTAGATTTTCTACTATATTGTAGTGATTTTATCGAGAAATAATTCTTTAATTTGCTTTCATTACTTTTGTTAAAAAAATACATTTCGACCAAAATATAATATATTTAATTAAAATTTACTTGATACAATATAAAAAACAAAAACAAAGAAATAAAAAGATCAAAACTGATAAAAATACAGACCAAATCCTTTAATAATTTTTCTCTTAACATAATTCAATAAGAAAACGCCAAAATGAATTTTCGTCATTACAAGATTAAACTGTCACAAAAATGTGGTCTTTTATGGATTCTTAACGACCAAATTGGAAAACACAACAAGTTATTAAATAAGGGATCACAAGTGTAGCTCTTGACTAAATGACATAGGTTTAAATAGTTAAGTTAATGATGATAGAAACAATAAAAAGTATATTTACACAGCCGAACTATAAATAGAAATTACTTATACTGATGTTAAGTATGTGATAGTTTAATTTAAAACATACTTAAATAACAACAGTACAATTCTATAGCTGTGCAAAGGTAATTCTAGAATGTATTTTAGACAGATACATCTTTTCATATAATGCTAGAAAAGCGTAATAAATGCAAAATATCTACGCATTCTAATAAAAAAAAAACATAAAAGTACAAATATATTACATTATACAAAGAAATATAATATTTTCCTAAGATAACTTTTTTTTTGAAACTTAAACAACTTATTTTATTTATCTATATGCAAGGTATACTGTGGAAACTTTTCATTCTGAGGAAACTATAATGTTCAATCCTGGAACATATAAATTGGATACTTGTTTCTCTGAAGACACATTATCAAACGAATTAACCTTATATTAATTCAGTTAAACACATGAGGATGGTGATTAATGCATGGAAGCAAAATGGTTAAGATATTTGAAATGTTTACAATAAATCAACGGCACATATATTAATTCATGACTGTTTTAGGGAAGAATTCCATATGGAGGCGCACTTTCATGATGCTAGAATTCTAAACAATAAGGCATGTGTTAGTCTCATCAACATCAGTACTGTTGTAAAAGTCTGGATTGGTGTTACATCTGACAATAAAAACAATCCCGGATCCAATGTGTACATGTACTTTAATAACATCATTCTCCAAGTAAATAAGTAACTAATCCCTAAAAAAGTATTACAAACAAAATTATTTACACAGGTTAAACGTAGGAAGCTTTTCGTTAAGGTAGAACTTCCAACTTAAAATAGCAAAAAACATGTAAAAGAACACTTACTATGCCTTGATTATACAGATAGTTTAATGCTTATTGTAAGTAATATAACCCTATAAAAACTATTTTCTATGGGACTCAATCAAAAGAATCAAAATAAAACTGCTGACGATATAACATAAACCACTCATAACAAAATGAGATATTTTGACATAATTACTCTTTATTAATATTAATTAATATTCGAAATAAGCAAATTTATAACCTTAAAAAAACTCATTTTGTTTCAATGTGTTTATACTATTTTGTTGTTCATTGAGTTAATGGACAGTTTCAATATAAAATCATAGTTGTATATATAAGATATTTTAAGCACAAAAATCAACTGAAAGATGCCTGTTTTGATAAAATAGAAACACATTAAATTATCATAACATTTAGTAAACGTTGAGAGCAAAATACAACATAATTTTAATTGATATTTAGTTGCAACACCTTTTAGCTAATAAACCCACACCATACAGACCGGATGAAATAATTCTAAAAACTGAATAACATTATCCCTTTTTCTCTGCCAAATACTACCACGCTATAGAATTTATTAAATGTACATACTCGATGTAACTTAAATTTCGCGATCTTAACTCAGTGCTTTGTCATAGAAATCATTTTTTTCATGCCAAAGGCTCTTGAAAAACAAATTGTGACTGTTAATGTTACACACATAGATTTAATCATTATTCCACCAAAGCTCTTCTTGAAAATATTAAAAGCAATGTTAAATTTAAAGCCTGAGGAAATACTGTTAATTCTGTTGAATTTCGCTTTAAATAATTCAAAATCTCTATGTCGATATTTTGACTTCAGTAACAATAATAATTTTCGCTCTTTTTTTGAAGAATGAGACTAGAATATATTTTATACATAACGTTATTAAAATAAGTTTTAAAATACAACAATGTCGTACCACGTTATTTTTTAGTTAGAACATCGACTGTTGCCGTGCAGGACAAGTGAATAAGGTTTTACAAAGCAAAGAAAGTAACATTTTCATCCTGGTTACAAGATGTACTCCACAAGACCTGAAACAATGGATTGGCCACTTTCACCCTAGTTACAAGATGTACTCCACAAGACCTGAAACAATGGATTGGCCACTTTCACCCTAGTTACAAGATGTACTCCACAAGACCTGAAACAATGGATTGGCCACTTTCACCCTAGTTACAAGGTGTACTCAACAAGACCTGAAACAATGGATTGACCACTTTCACCCTAGTTACAAGTGGTACCCCAGAAGACTTGAAACAATGGCGCATCTTCTAAGCATGCAGCTTATCTGTGCCAGATTCCGACAATAATGAAGATTGTCTTATGTATAATTAGGTGGATTCGTTCGACTCCACATCCACATGTAATATTGGATACAATGGATACCAGCAAAACATTAATCTGGAGAAATCCAACCGGTCCAACTGAATCTCTACTGCCCCTATTGGTTGGTTGTGTTCAAAACCTTTTTGTCGTTCCCATACCATTACCTGGACAACATATATAAGAACAACAACATATACATTATGTGTCAATAATCAGAAAATATTTAATAAACATTTGTTAAAATATTCTGAACATTATATATTATTTTCTACGTATGCCTGTAAGTGTAAAGCACTATAGGTAGGACTAAATCAAGCACATTTCTATTGTCTTATAATTATTTCATGAAAATATGTATTAATAAATTTAAGAAGCTTACACACAGCCACCTACTAATCCAACCACATACAAATGTAAGCATATTACCTAAATACATACGTTATGCAGTAGAAACAGTAAAATATGTATAGGTAGGAGAGGTAACTGTAGTAGTGAGGCTCACACACTATATAAAATACCTTATCTATCAGATTAAGCCTTTATTAACGAGCGTAATAGGTGAAATGTAATTATAGTGTTGAAGCAGATACGTGTGTTCCAGGCTAGAACAATCCGCTTATTTAAACTAATATCCACTATTTACGGACACTTGTGGGAAGGAATGAAACGGTAACGTGAGATGAGAACCGTGAAATACATTATTAGTAAAAACACATCATTTGAACTCATACATTTTTGGAACTTTGATATAAGTACTCCGATATTAGTTTCGGAACTTTCCCATGCCCTTCTCGGTCGCCCAAGTCTCACAGAGAACACAGTTTCATCCAGCTTACATATTGTGTGGTGAAATCTGATCCCATATTTTCTGTAGGATTCACAAGTTGAGAAAATAGTTTAGTTTGAAATAACCGTCAGAAGTAATGACGTTCGGTATACTGTTACTAACACTTTCTAGATAATCTTCTGTTTTACGGATAAGTTTGGAAGATTTCGAGTTTATGTAGTGTCTAAAACTGTCATGATTAAGAAAATGGAATTATTTCTACTTTCATTCTTATCATCTCTTTCATGTTCTGTGGTTATTGTGTTTAGTATATTCCTGTCTCACCAACGTAATCCTTTCACGTGAATGGTCTTGATTTCTACCTTCTTGTAGGGGTTTGTTTGATGTTAGATTCTCGTTCTCATGTTAGTGGATCACAATTCTTTAGGCTTTGAGAAACATAAAGGTAGCTATAGAGGTTTTCTCCATTTTCTATTTGCTATCTAACATTTTCATGGAATATTTTTGAATCTGAATTACTTCCAGTAAATGGAAGTATGAAGATTTCCTGGTTGCGCTACGTAGATAATATTTTATCAGTTTGGTCAACAACATATATAATTTCTAATATTTCTTTAAAGCAACTAAACCGTCTTTACAGAACTATACATCTTAAAGCTGAATTGGAAACAATAAATCTCCCTTTTCATAAACACGCCTATAACTAGAATTAACGCGAAGATCTATAAACCCTCTAAGTTACATTTATTTTTTCTCAAGCTACCATAAAATGATTAAAACCTCTAACGTTACCTTTATGTTTTTAAGAGCCTATAGAATAAGTGAACATTAGTACAAGAAATTCAGAACAACTGTATACTCTAAAAGAATTGTGATACCCTTTAAATTTTTATCAAACATACACATCATTAAAGCTACAAACGTTTTCTTAAATATAATGAAGGAACTACAGTGTTGGCCAAAATGTTTGCATTCTGTTCTATATTAATGTTATTGTCTACATGCATAAAGTAGTTATTGAGTAAATGCTCGAGTAGTAACAGAGAAGGTAGGGTATGATCGGACAAACATGTACGAGTTGTTATTATGATATGTATAAGTTGTCTTGAGCATTTGTTCATTAAAACACACACACACACGCACCTGTTTTGTATAAAAGGGTGTACTTTTGGTATAATGTCTTTCGAAACAGATCAACGCTTTGTTCAGACAATTCTTCTGTACTTGGTTTAGAGTCATGCCTCGTCAATTGTTCGACTGTTCAGAAATGTTATGAAGCAAATGGACATTGCCAGAATAGTAGGGTACCCCAAGTGTACTGTATCCAGAACGTTGTTTCAGGAAAGTCTACTGATAGACGTCGAAAAACTACTGCCCGAAATGACTGAACTGGAAAATTAAACACGACCCTAAACGAGCTACTGTAGCTGAGTTGCAGCGCCTTCTAGTGACAATGTGGGATGAAATCACGGTGGATTACATCAATAACCTCACCGACAGTATGCCACGTCGCCTTGCGGAGATTATTAGAGTACGAGGAGGACCAACCAAGTACTGAATGTTTAATATGAACTGATATAAGGTTATAGACGCTATTTATAATAATTAGATGTTATATTTTGTCATCATATATGTTTTGGTAAGGTTTATTGAATTACACATATTTCTAGAGGTGTTTGATAAAATTGTTTGCTCTTCTAATAGATCGTTCATGATGTCCATAGAGCCTGTATCATTATACACACTGCATATGAAGATGATTAATATAACGTGCATTTCTCATGTTAACAGCGCTAAGTTTATTTGTATTCCATCTTAATAATAATGATTTTATTTATTACAAAATATGGAAAATTTTTGGCCAAGGCTGTAGAACAACAGAAGAAGAAGAACCAACTTTGTTTAAGCTATAGCACTGAGTTTAAATCTATAGAAAATATTATAATAAAAATGAATTTATCATCACTTACAAACAATCCAACATCAAACAATTACCGACAAGCAAATAGAAAACAAGGCGTCTATATAAGAACTTGTCATTCACATGAAATAGTTTACGTTGGAGAAAAAAATAAGAATTACAAAACATTAATGATCATGCTAAGAACGGAAATAGAAATAATGCAATTTTCATACATATGATAGTTTTGACCTCAACAAAAACTGCAAATTTTCCAAACTTATCTGTAAAATAGAAAATTTCATAGAAAGAATGATTGCTGAAAGCTGTGCAATTAATAACTCATATCCGTTTGGCCATTTCAAACTAAACTATTTCCTCAATACTTGCATCCAATAGAAAATATCTGATCAAATTTCACCACATAAGATATACACCGGAAAGAACATTTCTTCCCTGTAAGACACTGCCGAAACTATTACCAGAGTCTTTATTTCAAAGTTCAGAAAAGTACACAGTAATGTATACTCGTTTCTAGTATGATATCATTTAACTTTGGTTTTCTAGCCTCCATAATAGTCTTCAACATGTATTAACGTGATGGACTGTACGGTTGTATGTTTTAGAACACAGCCACATTGGGCTATCTGTTGTGTCCATAGCAGGGAATTGAATCCCGCATATGACATTTATAAGTCCGTAAATTTACTGCGGTCAACCGACGGACAAACGCGATGGAAAAGAAATTAGGTGGTATATTAAAAATTTATTACTATCGAAAACGAAAACAGTACTATGCTCTGTAATATTAATAACATTACTGGAATATAAATAAACAGGTAAGCCATTGAAATGCAACTATACTCCCAGCGTAAGTTAAATCTAATTTGTTGTTGCTAATGTAGTATAAGGTTTAATACATATTTTCAATAATCATACTGCACAGAAACTAAAATACATATAAAGAACTGAATCTATCAAACTAACGCATCTGAGTGTGTATTTTATGAAGATATTTTAAATATTCGTTCTCAAATGCAGATAAATATTTCATAGAACAAATATAAAATATATTTAATTTTTTATTCAAAAATATGTAATTTTATACACATTCATTTAAGTGAAACGATAACAATGTCTTTAAACTCTACTTTTCCTAATATAATAAAATAACTAGGAAATCAAAAGCATCCATATTAAACCACCCACATTCAGAGTAACTGATAGAAAATTAGTAACTTTAAAGTATTAAACTTGAAATCTAAAGTATTCTGTAACTGTAGTATGTAAAGCAAGGTGCATGTTTAGCACTTGCAAATTCCACAGATGTTTAAATATTTCTAACAAATTAAAACTCTGGTTCTTTGTCTTAAAAATACTAGTTTCTTTAAACTTGAGCACTACAAAATCTGTAAAAGGTGTGTTAACATTTGTTTAAAGTGTGATCACAATTCTGATCTAGTGGCAAAGGAATATTTCTGTTTTTTGGTTCGATTTGAAAGCAAATGAAAAAGATATTGTTACATTCAAACAAAACAAAAAACGAAGACCGATATTTACTGGTGTAATAAATCTAATAGGCTATTTCAACACAAGACAAATAGCAAAGTTTTTTTGTATGCTGATTTGCACTTACTCGAATTATTACGGTCTTGAATAATGGTTTTTCCTTCATCAAATTAGTCCCGTTCATATAGCATGTAGCGATATTTTAAAAGGTTGGTTTCGACTTGAAAAATATTAATCAGGGATATAAATTATGCGTCTTTTATAGCTTTATTTTTATTTTTCAGATATAATTTTATTGCGAACTGGGTCTGATATCATGTTTATTTTTTTTATTATAAAGAAACAATTTGCAACTCCTTTCATTATTATTAAAACAAAATACTCGACAAAGAATGTTTTACGATAATTTTAATGGAACCGTTTGTCCATTGTTTCTATTTGATATTCACTTCTTTTAAACATGAACTGCACCTTATGCGATAAATAAATTAAACGGTCAGGTCTGAGACCCCAAGGTTCAGGAACAGCCGTTATTAACTTAGAACAACTAATTAGAAGAAGCGCAAATAATTAATAGTCCCCTAGTGATACAGCGGTAAGTTTCAGGGCTTATGACGCTAAAATTTGACGTTTGATCCCATGATTGACACAGCGCAGATAGCACATTGTGTAGTTTTGCAATAAAATATAAAAACCAATCTGCAGCACCTGCCGCTTATACAGCTATTCTTAACTGAATAGTGGAAGTGCCTGTCACTTCCTTAACTTTTCAGTGACTGAAAGTGAAGAGCGTGTTCTTCAGTATATGATTAGTTCAAACACTAGGCCTTCATGCATAAGAGGCAAATAGTAAAATGTTTTATTAATTTAAGTCTCATTCCGTATGCGCACTAACATAGATCTGTCGGTTTTAGTTTTGTTATTTTTCTCTGACTATCTATTCTGTTAACGTGAGGGAGGAATTGTGTTATCTTTATCTGAAGAAATAATTTCAAGCTTATTCCTTGAAATAAAATATAACCCTATAAAACGGGCAATGTCCTCAAACAAACACAGTTGCAAAAATAAGTTAAAATCCTAAACACATAACTGATCAAGGAAATAAAAAATTCTATTAGTTATTACTTCCAGTTAAAGAATGTTAAAATTTGATTTTGAAGGTTACCAAAATTTACATGCATATTTATTTATTTATTTCAAATAGATTACTTAAATATTTGGTTTTTATTTCTTAATGTTTTGAGTTGTTTTTATGGAAGTGGTTTATTTTTCTTACTCTGACCATATTTCCTAAATGAAGACAAAAATAGTCCCACAGTAGCACAGCGGTATGTCTTCAGACTTACAACGCTAAAATCCGGGTTTTGCTACCCGTGGTGGGCAGAGCACAGATAGCCCCTTGTATTGCTTTGTGCTTAACTTCAAACAAACGAAGACAAAATATATTTTAGAATTCAGGTATGGCCATTTACTGCGCAGCACTCTGAAAGTCCGTAAAGAACTATTTTATAATTTCCTAATCTTAATTCTAAAGCATATTTTCTAAATTGATAAACAATTTCCTTCGACGAATGTTTGAGAAGACAATATACGCAAAAACAAATGCAAGAAAGAAACGTTTACGCCAATAATATAATGTGTATATGTGTGTATAGAGAGAGAGTCTATACTTACATATCCTATGTGAAAAATTGCTAGAAATCAAAGAATTAGCTTTTACTACACAGTCATAATTGAAAAACGGTTTCATAAGATGTCAATAAAGATACTTATCGTGAATAAAATGAGGGATCAAAGAGATGTTGTCTGATTTACATAGTATGATAAACATAAATGAGGTATAACCGGATTCAAACAATATGATCAGATCCAGGTGGTGTGAGCATCATACAGTAAAACCTCTAAGCCTATTATTAACTCATATGGTTACTAACCAATAACCGACGACCTTGAGTATCTAAAGCGTTGTACTTGAGCGTCTGGCGATACTGCGGTTCTGATGAGTGTCTTACAACTCGTGTTTTTCTTTTCTGCATTTGTCTTTCTCCTTGTTTCAAATACGTTTTTACGTAGGTATCTAAAAATATGGGTACTCTACAAAATCAGGCACTTCAAACTAGATTCACTTGGAAAGGAAAGATTAAGAGTACTTTAGAATCCTTCCTTTTTCGGTAGCGAAATAAGCGGAATTTTTTGAAATCCATATAAATCTCATTACTTTCAACTAATATCCATTTAAACACAAAGATGAAAAATAAGGTAATTTAAATATACATATGTTCGCCAACTTTCTACAGATAAATATTTTAATATCTTTTAAAAAATTAGAACAACCATATTGCTGTTTACAAGGACAAACAAAAACCTTCTTGATTTTGTATTTTAGATCGAATCGTAGTCTGGTAATCACAATGAACGTGTTACTGTAACCTAACGTATATAAAATTAATTGTGTATACTAGGAAAGCAGTCCTAATGAGATGATAAATTATTTGTTTATTAAACAATATAAAAACTATTTATAGACATTACTCAAGTCATTTTTCAATAAGTTTTCGCTCTTGAGGAGAGTACTTGTAACATGAATAGCCAGAGGGCTGAAATCATTATCACAACAACACAAAAACATATAATGTAAATGTTGTTTTAAACTGTATTAAAATCGCGAGGTTCAAATGCCTAACTGTAGAATTAAAGAATTATAAAGGAAAATATAATATATTACTAGAACAATACCAGGAGGCTGTCCTGATGGATTCAGACTCAGCTCACGGGCACAGATGACTTGTACTTCAAGTTGACCTTTGGTTATTAGAAACCCTAATTTAATGTCTCCCAATGTGTCTGTTAGAAGGTATGATAAAGTGAAGAAAGTATTACTTTTAACTGGTAATGTCACATTACAATTCTTTAGTAAACCCATCTTCAAAATATCAAATATTTTATCCAAGAAATAAAACATAGAATATATATAAAGTATACAGTAATAGCATTCTGAAGATTTCAAGGTATTGAAAGTGAGTAAAAAAACACAAACATAACTACATAAAGTACAATTTATTATTTATTTTACAAGTTTTTCTTCTGTGATCACAAGAAAATGTGAAAATTACTAGAAATATATTATCGTTTCCTAATAACTGCCACTTTAACTAGAATCTGGTTAAACTTCTATCGTTTTGAATACAAGTATTGATTATTGTTATCCAATTCCTACAATCAATTGTTTTTTTTCGGCTTTATATTAATTGTATATTTAGTATGTTGTTGAGTCAATTCAAATTTAAGGTTGTCAGCGGTTGATAAAATATATCATTGGTGATTGTCAGGTAGTAAATTTTTGGTTCTATTTTATAGTGTTATTGAAATCAATTGGACTCATTAAGTCGAAATAATTGGTGTTCCTAAAGTAATTATGTTGTAATATTTTATACGTTATGTGATAGGCTTGTAATTTTCTCATCAAATGTTTCATTCCATATATCATATACAGTATTTTTACACTTATATCGAAAATATTCGTGATATTCTTAAACTCTTACCATCACTTAGTTTGATTTTCCTAGAAAACACCTGGCCAGGACCTCGGCGGATACCATTTGCTCCAATCGCCATTTCAGGTACCTCATTTTCTGGAGTAAAATCTGGACTTGATTGAGCTGATGCTAAGTTGGTTCCTGTTGTAATATTCGATTATGTTAGCTGGTAGCAAAAAAGTTAAACCACTAAATAGTAAACAAAATGGCTCATATTAGTACTCCATATCACGCTGTCATTATTTGTCATACATAAAATAAAGTTGAAATACTAGCGAAAAAGTAAGTATAAAAAGAAAGTGGATATTTTTTTTAGCCATGGCAAACGATAAAAAAAATCATTTCCAATTAATTTTCACAGTTTCATATACTTAAATTTATTTGACTAGGCTTTCTAAATTGAAAATTTTTTCTACTGTATAACATTTAACTTATGATGAAAGAAAACAAGTCCAGATGTTATTTCGTGTTTCACAATTTAATCTTCTGTATCTAAGAACTATAAAAAAATACTCTGGTTTCACCGGTCTTGAATAAATGAGAAAAACGGTAAAGCTAACCACAATCAATCAGCATGTATCACATTTGGCTCACGAGGAAGCTACAGATGCAGTAACCTTGGAAACGCTAAATGCTCTACTACACTAAAACTACACTACTCATCCTACCTAGACCCACAGACCTCTGGTCTTTATCCCATCTTAAGCTCAGTGTCCGAGATAGTTTTTCTTTGACCAAGTTTCCCAGATTCTTCTGTTCTTCCACATCTCCTTAGAGGGCAAAAGTGACAGCAGATAAATAGAATTTAAAAAAGTAAGCTCCATTACTTATTTGTTTTTCAATATGCTCAATGACAAAAAATCACCAAAATATACATATGCTTTTAAAAGTGAAGAAACGTAACACATTACTCATAAAAAATGTATACTCCAAAATTAGATGATACAAAATGACTAGAAACGTGGTCCACAAAACGTCCATTTAAAAGCTGAAAACTGCGTTTTGACAAAATCCCCGTGTAGAAGATAGGCACTCTCAGAAGCAATAACATTAAAAAATAAAACTGTTTATAATTATGTGTTTTCAAAAGGAAAATACTGCACAGGCACAAAAAACAACTGCCCACGACAGCTGTGTTCAAAATGCTGCCAATAAAACTTATTTGTTTGTTTGTTGTCAAGCTCAAAGCTACACAATGGGTTATTTGTACTCTACCCACCGTCATTATCAAATCGCGATTTTTAGCGTCATAAGCCCTCAGACTTGCTCCTGAGCCACCTGGGGTTGAAGGTTATACCTTGAAAAGAAGCGAAATGGACAGTTTAAAACATTACTCATAAAGGTGTGGCCTCGTAATGTACAAAATGAACATAGGAAAATCTGTGCGAAAGACTTGACTGTGAAAGTGATTTATTTGTTTGCTCTAGCCATTCCTAATTTTGGACTGATAGATTAAAGCACCGATCGAATAGTGGATTTGGTCGTTACTCCAATAACACACACACACAGGATCTCAAACTTGCAGAACATGATTTTACGGCAGCTGACCACGAACCACGGACCTTCGGATTCACAGTTCGGCACACTAACCTCTCTGAAAACGAGAACCTTTTGCAACGACAAAAACACCATCAAAAAGACATAATAACGCGTTTTCTCTAAATGGAGTTAACGCACAGGGATGAAAACTGTTAATCTGTATTAAGATTTTATTATATTTAGAGCTCCAATTTTTCTAAACGTATAAATTTTACGTACAAAATATTTTATAAACAAATTTCTGAATTAAAGACACTATAATGGATAGCTATAATAAAAGAAACATACGTTGCTTTTTCTTTCATATAACCTCCGGTTTCGATATACTAAGGATACATCATAATTTACATTTTTAAAACACAAAAATAATTTTCCTTGGTATTAACTTAATTGCTAGTATAAGGAAAATTTCACTTTTAACCGATATTCTGCTACAAGATACAAATTACTATAAGGTGCCGAATGTGTAAGCTTTGAATATTAAAAAGAAATCTCAAATAATTATAGAAGAACAGGTAGAAAAATATTTACCAATATAGGATATAAGCAATCGACAAAATGCAATCTTCTTTCCTATACATCTAAATTCGAAATATTCTTAACCATAACTATGACAAAATATTTTCTCTCCTATGACTTTTGAAATAATTTTTGTGATTTCTGATTCCATAAATATACTCACTTTCAGAACTTGATGGTCGGTGAATTCTAAAGCTGGCACTTCTAGCCCGTTCTCTTATTTTCGGCCTACTTGAATACAGAACTGTGGAATGAAGAAAAAGTTTTAATATCATAAATTCTATAAGCATATGAGCTAACATGTTAGATATATATTTATCAAATGAGCTATAGGTCCAAGATTGTTATCTTAACGAACTGGAAAAATATTCCTGATATTTACCAAATAAATAAGAAACTAGGATTCCATAACTTTACCTGCTGATGATAACTTATATAAATATATGTTAAGTAATGCATAAAACTGAACAATCAAAGATAAATAACGAATGATTCTTAAGCAAATTTTAATTTTTGTTTCGTTGTTACATTTTCCAAGAATCTAATTTCCAAGTCTAATTACGTTGTGACAAGATGAATTATGACGGCTACTAAGCTTTGCAGTTGGGAAATATGTTTCATTAACGTTGTACATACAATCGATAGAGTGAACATGTCTCTTCTCCAAAACATTCTAAAGCAAAAAGTGTTTATTAGATTCATCTCATGAAAATAGCTAAACAGAAAATTCGTAAGTATGCCTCATCATTTATGCTGCTGAATACGTATGAAACAAAAAGGGAAGTAATTACTGCCATTGCTTAAGTGTCATTAGTTATAATATATAGAATTATAGAATAACTCCAGTTAGAACAGGATATAGGAACATTAATTCAACAACATAAAGAGAGATTGGGATAGTAGGTACTGAGTGTTTATAATAATAACCTTGTGTCAGATGTCTTAAGCCGCTGCCCTAGTACATCAAAATAGTTTAAGTTTAAACCAACATCTCTTTAATATATATTTACTGTGGTGAATTTTTGCTTCATTCTCAGTATTTTAGCAATAAATATACTTAAATTATTAAGCATTTTTACTTTTTTATTTTTCAATAATTAATTATACTTATAATGACTAGATTTAATATATATGTATATATAAATATATATATGTATATATAATTTTTGTAATTCACTAAACTGTAGACAAAAATTTATAACACAATACTCATCTCCTACAACTTTTATTTCATTTCTCAAGCAATAATTACACCATCTTTCTGATGTATGTATATTTTCATATTTCTAGTTCAGAATTATACTTTGAGATATGTAATTTTGCCAAAGCTGACCTTTTAAACTATAAAATATTACCGATTTAAGTCTGACATATTTTATCCATTTTATTACAATCACATACATCTGAATACCAAGTCTTTGCATAAATTTTTTTAGGAAAAGTTCTTCATTTTCATTGTGTTGTGCTCCCCATGTGTGAAAATACAATGCCTTATTTTACATGCCCATGTTATTCTTTCTTTTTCATCTTGCTTTAGGGAAACTGTTACTTTCCATTTTTATAAGCTTAACCCAATACCTTATACATCTTTGTTTATACTGAGCAGCTAAAGATAGCTTCCCACATTCATTTAATACAGCTACATTTGTAGCACTCTTTGAGACCCCTAAATAATACTTACAAAACATATAATAATATTAATCCAATACCTTATACATCTTTGTTTATACTGAACAGCTGAAGATAGCTTCCCACATTCACTTAATACAGCTACATTTGTAGCACTCTTTGAGACCCCTAAATAATACTTACAAAACATATAATAATATTAACCCAATACCTTATACATCTTTGTTTATACTGAATAGCTAAAAGTAGCTTCCCACATTCACTTAATACTGCTACATTTGTAGCACTCTTTGAGACCCCTAAATAATTCTTACAAAACATATTTGATACTTTTTTTTTTCATTGATATCTAATCAGTAAAACCCCATAGTTCTGCTCCATACAATAAATTTGAAGTTATCAAGGTTACGAGTTACTGCCCCCCAGTGGCACAGCGGTATGTCTGCGGACTTACAACGCTAGAAACCGGGTTTCGATACCCGTGGTGGGCAGAGCACAGATAGCCCTTGTGTAGCTTTGTGCATAATTAAAAACAAACAAACAAACGAGTTACTACTCGTCTTTTCAGCTTATTTAACTGAGTTTTTGTAATTCGCAAGTTCTTATAAAACGAAACTACCTCCAACCTTTCATTACCTATGAATCAACACTCGAATGATTTTAAGATACCTCTGGTTCTAAAAGTTATAACTCTTGATTTCAGCATACTAATACATAAATTAGTTGATTTATAAAAGTTCTCTAAAACGCTTACTTTGCGGTTTTACAGGTGTTTCACTACACAACACTATATCATCTACATGCAAAGGAGGTGCTGTAGTATATATCTTATTATTAACATCATGTTCTTTCATTTGTGTTATAACGTCATGCATATAGATAACAAATAGGAAGGGGCTTATCATACAACCTTGCCTTTTTTCCTTCTTCAGATTTAAAAATCCTGTTAGTCCTTTCTGAGTTATTACACGTGATATAATATTTTTATACACACTCAAAACCACTTTAAAAATATTTCCTTTTTTCCATTTTCAATTGCTTTGTTCCACAATATTTCATTAGAAACAGTATCAAAGATTTTGCTGAAATCTATAAAAAAGCATCCAAATCTCCCTTTTTTCTTAGATAAACATTTTTCAATAAGACCAGAGTAAAAATGTGTTAAATTGTTCAATGTTTATTTCTACATTTTGCCTGTTCTTCATATAATTTCTAATTTATACTTGCCCAGTTGTTTAATCTAAAACTTATAATTTTGGAGAAAACTTTCCACGTCACATTTAATTAAAAGTGATACTCCTCTATAATTATCCGAATTATTAACGTCATCTTTCTTAAATAATGGACATAATGCTTTACTCCATTATTCAGAAAACTCTTAAATATTCAGAATGAGACTAGAAATTTTCCATAACTCTCAATATTAAATTAAAAAAGAATATTAGTTATACTGTCAATATCGAAAGTTTTTTTACTGATCGGTAGACTTTCAGCTACTTTTTGTTCTTCTATCGTTACTGAAATGTTTAACATCTCATTCTTCTATCGTTACCAAACTGTTTAACATATCATTCTACTATCGTTACCGAACTGTTTAACATATCATTCTACTATCGTTACCGAACTGTTTAACATCTCATTCTTCTATCGTTACCAAACCGTTTAACATCTCATTCTTCTATCGTTACCAAACCGTTTAACATCTCATTCTTCTATCGTTACCGAACTGTTTAA